GGGCGGCTTGGGCCTCAGTGGGCGGGTTGGGCGGATTAGGCCTTGGGGGGCCTGTGCCTCGGGGACTGGGCTAAGGGCGGGTTGGGCCTCAGGGGCCCTGGGCCTCAGCGACTTGGCTACATGGCGGGTTGGGCCTTGGAGGCGGGTAGGTGGTTCAGGACTGTGGGCGGGTTGGGCCTCAGGGCAGGCCTTGGCCTCAGTGGGAGTGTCTGGTCCTTGGGAGGGCCTTGGCCTCAGTGGGCGGGCCTGTACCTTGGGCTTTCCTGAGCCTTGGCGGCTTGGCAGAAGGCTGGGGGATAATGGCTGCAGGGAGGTAATGTCTGGATTTGATGATGTAAAAGATGCCTCTCTCACTCCCTGTACCTTGGGTACCCTGAATTTCCTGATATCCGCGCTGATATCCCTCTCTATTTGTTTGGCTTTGTTAGTTTATACTTACTTTTGTTTGGAAATGCAGCCTTCTAAGTGGGGTTGCTCTAGCCCTGTATTCCAAGGTCTGCAGGGGGCAGAGGCACTCGCAGGCGCGGGCATGGAAGCGGGAGCCTCATGCAGGCAGGCAAAAGCTCAAAATGCCTGTAATTCCTCAGCAATTTGATCTTTTAAAAAAACAAGTTCAGAATGTTGAAATATAAGATCTTATGTTTGTTCAAAGGCTGTCTGTCTGCTAGACAGATGTTTCCTATGTGCGATTCCGCCCCTTTTCCCCTAGTCATCCCTGCCTGAACTTCCTGGTCAGGGAAGCGTCGGAAGTCGAGTGTTTATCCATATTTCTTAAGCGTGAAATGTGAGAGTTTTGACTTTTTCCAGTAACAAAATTTGGAAATGTGCTAGACTCCAGAATAATGATTTAATAAGCAGAAATATTAGCATACCACTAATCTTCATTCAACACCTTAAATATCTTCCCATTTTATTAATTCCAGGCATTTCTCTTAAACCTCATAAACTGGTCTCAAGCACTATGCTCTAATCGACTAGCTTCTTTTAGCTAACAAAATGCTCACCGTTTGTTTTATGCCTACCCTGTGTAAATTGTTATTTCTCTTACTGTGGCTCTCTGAACATATTTCTATATGTATAACCAGCTCCACATAGCAAGGTTAACTTTGGACAAGTTACTTAGCCTCTTTTATACTTAGTTTTTCTCTCTGTGAAATGGAGATAAAATTACTACCACTCCTACCTTGGATATTTTTTTGTGAGAATTATATAGATTAATATTAGAACAGTGCTTGGTGCAGGTATATACTCAGTAAATGTTAACTGTTATTCCTCCCCAAAGCTCATGGGACTGCTGTATGTGCTAATTCCTTTATTTTCTCTATTAAAAAAAATAGATTTGTTAATATTTATACTGAGATTCAGCAATCTCTAGTTGGAGCCATATGTTTTATTGCCATGTAGTTTATCTTGTTAAAAAATAAAATATTTTTTCTCCTAACCCCAACCTTAGGGATGATAGAAATTTAAGAAGCAAAGGCCTAATAAGTGGTGTGAAGTCACTCAGTAAAGAAGAATTGAGTGCAGAGTTACTAAATTTATCTCTGATCACAGATGTGTGCCACCAGCCTTGTATTTCTAAGCAACAGTTCAAAGCAGGTAGTATTCTTACTATGAATAATTAGAAATGTATCTTATTTTAATGCACTGCCATTATTGATAATATTTAGAATTAGTACATTTTTAATTTGTGTGTTCAAAATCATATTAAGTTTGGAATATTTGCTGGTAGGTACAGGAAGACATCAATGAAAATTTCAGTGATAAGTATAGTTAACATCGCCTTCTCTCTCTCTCGTGTGTGTGTGTGTGTGTGTGTGTATATATATATGCTTTTACAAATTAGACTGAATTTTGGTTCATATTCTTACAGTTTTATACATTTGCAATCACTGTGTGCTTTTTACTTTATATAACGTAGGATATAGCTTCAATTAATAGTTGTTGTTAGGTGCCATTGAGTTGGTACCGACTCATAGCAACCCTATGCACAATTGTTGTTAAGTGCTGTCAATTCAGTTCTGACTCATAGCAACCCTGAATAAGATTTCCAAAGAGCCGCTGGTGAGCTTGAACCACCGACTTTGTGTTTCAAACTGACCTTGCAGTCCAGTGTATTATGCCGTAGCACTACACCAGGGCTCATTATAGGAAATACGCATTTGAGATAGAGATTTTTTTTTTTTTTTTATGTTTATTACCTTCCTCTGGTGGGCACTATAGGACAAGCACTAGACTACTTATCACAAAGTCAGCACTTCAAACCTACTAGCCACTCCTTGGAAACCCTATATAGGGTTACTGTGAGTCAGACCCTACTAGATGTAGAACTTAATGACTACAACAACTAACACAGTAAAAACTTAAAAAGCAATAGAGAAACTTACAGAATTCAAATAATAGTTACTTGCTTTTAAAAATAGTAACTTTGAAAGTTAAGGATAGTTGTTGTTGTTGTTGTTGTTATGTGCCGTGGAGTCAGTTCCGACTCATAGTGACTCTGTACAAGGTTTCCAAGGCTATGAATCTTTATGGGAGCAGAATGCCTCCTCTTTCTCCCACGGAACAGCTGGCAGTTTCGGACTGCAGACAATGAGAGCCACTATGCTACCAGAGCTCCTTAGTAAAGACGGTAATATTATTTATTTTGTTCCTTTTCCTATGAATCTTTTCTAATGGAATGTTTTATCATATCTGGCATCATTTGAAAATATTCCCCAGTGTCCCTTTGTGAGGCAAATAATGAGTGGAGTCTCTAACATACATTTGTTTGTTTATAAATGTCTAAACATTTATATGAAGAGCCCTGGTGGCACAGTGGGTTATGTCTTGGGGTGCTAACCGAAAGGCTGGCAGCTTAAATTGACTAGCTGCTCTGCAGGAGACAGATGAGGCAGTCTGCTTCTGGAAAGATTTGTGACCTTGGAAACCCTATGGAGAAGTTCTACTCTGTCCTATGGAGTGGCTATGAGTTGGAATTGACTCGATACTACTGGGTTTTTGGTAAACATTTATATATACACAGATGCTATTTAATTTGACTTGTTCATTGATAACATATAGTATTCAAAATGACGTTTAGAAAGAGTATCAGAATATTTTAGTTTATGATTTTTCAAGGGTGTGGCGCTGTGGGTTAATGTGCTAGACTGAAAAGTCATTTGAGCCACAAGGTCGGCGGTTCAAGCTCACCAGCTGCTCCTCAGAAATCCTATACAAGGTTGCTATGGGTCAGAATTGACTCGATGGCACTTAACAACAACAACATATGCTTTTAGGTTGCCCATTATAGATACAAACCCTTTGCTTGTACTAATGGTGATAAACTACATAATGCTTTACATTTTACCATAAAAATTGCAGTTTGCAGCTATCAAATTTGTAATGTTAATGAAATTTAATTAAAATAATAAAAGCTATATGTTAAGAGAAGAGTAGAAAGATAGTTAAAGCCAGAGATTTTGACCTATCAAAGTAAATTTATAGATGTATGTTGAGATTAGAGGAATATATTATTTTAGGAAGAAATTCTTCTTGACTTGTAGTTTTTAGCCCATAGTTTCTATAGTAAATGGATCCAAAGCAGTCTTAAAATTTTTATTCCTTTTGAAAAGAATAATATTAAAATTTAGTTAAAATATCACACCTACTTCTTTTTCTTTAAACTTTTCATTGTAAATTGAGTGAAATACATATTTCTTAGTAATAATATAATATTTATATTTATATTGAAAAGGTGAAGTATTTGTTAAAGTAATTTCTGTTGCGTTTAAAACAATTACTGTAGAAAGAACATGATTTTGTTTTACAAATAAAGGACTGGTTGTTTTTTAAGTTATTATAAACTATTTGCATAAAATGTTTAGTTTTTATACCTAAATACTAAATACGTAGGTAAAAGATTTACTGTTAATTATTTAAATACTCCTATATACTATTTGTTTTAAAGAAACAGCATCTTTGAAAGAAAGTTATGAAGAAGAATCCACAAATTCTGGACTGTCCATTCTACTAGAAAGCACCATATCTGAGCTTGAAAAATCTCTAGGAACAGCTTTGTCTTCGATATTGGAAACGGAAATGAAGCTAGCTTTTGGAAACCTCTGGATGGAGGTGATTATTATAACTCTTTTAGTTAACAGTTTCTTTTTAATTGCTAAAGATTTAGTATCCTACTTCAAGAAATATGACTTGTATAAAATGCCATATGCTTCATTGCAATTTTATATTAGTTTTTCCTTAAAGTTTTTGAAATAATTACTGAAAATTAGATAAGGAATTCTTAAAATTTAGGACTGTGTTTTATCATTCTTGTCTTCATTTAGCAAAGACTTACTGTGCATCTCCTGTGTGTCAAACACATTGTCTTAAGGAGTTTATGTGCAAGGAGGCTGAGGATATACAAGGGGACTTTTAAAGTTCATGGAAAAACTCCATTATCTTTGAATTCCATTTTTCCACGAACTTTTGGATGACCCTTCATTCAGTAAAGAAGTAAAATATGAGGTGTGTCATATAAAAATAAAATGGGGAAAGGAATAGGGGATTTAGAATTGGTAGTCAGGACAGGCAGACTAATAAAGTAACATGAATAAGATAAAGTGTGGTTTTAATGAGTGTAGAGCAGAGTAAAAGATGCAAAAAGGTAAAAGGGGGACAGGTAGTGTAAGGGATCTTCATAAAGTTAATGAAAAATGAATTTAAAAGATTAAAATGAAACATTTATTGTTATGTGCCACTGAGTCGGTTCTGATTCATAACAATCTTGTACAGGATTTTCATGGAGCTGATGGTGGGTTTGAACAGCCAACCTTGTGGTTAGCAGTCCCATGCTTATCCTACAGTGCCATACCAGGATTACAGACTTTATATCTCGACATGGGCTCCATCAAGTTCAAGAAAGATACTTTTGTAAGCCCTGATATTAGCCATTTGGTCCACCCTTAAAGAACTGAGGGTCCTGGGAATTTGATAGTGTCAAAGTAGTCTTTTTTGCATTATTAACTGAAGAAAAATGGATGCTCTTTACAGATTGACTAGGAGACAAAATTAAGGCAAAAGGATTCAAATCAGGACTGTAAAGTGAATGTGTAATGATTTTCCATGAAAATTCTCACAGAATTGACCCTTTTTTAATAAGCAGAATGAGCAAAAGCATAGCGTGGTTGAGAAGAACTTTCCTGGGCATATTTCTCCTAAAACTTCATGTAATTTTCTCAAAACATTTTCATAATAAGCAGATGTTATCATTCTTTGGCCTTCCAAAAAGTCAACAAGCAAAATGCCTTGAACTTTCACAAAAAACTGTTGCCATGACCTTTGCTCTTGATTATTCTACTTTTACTTTGACTGGACCACTTCTGCGTTTTGTTAGAGGAAGTCTTCTGCTAAGACATTTTGATTCAAATGAAGCCAAATATGAGAGAAATTTTTCTGAATTTGATTTTCAGATAGTCTCCCTACTAAAAGAATTCTCTTAATATTATTCTTTATTTTCCAACTTAAAGCAAGTTACCAAGAAGTGAAGTCTCATTTGAAATGACTTTTCTTCAGTGGCAACTCCATCTTTCCATTTGGGCAAGGAGTTTTCTCTTTTTCTTTCCTCCCATATTTTGGCTTATGCCATGTAAATATGAGAAAGAGATAAATCAGTGTAAGTTTGATCATATTCGCAAGAGATTTTGAATTTTCTTTATATTGACATCTTACTGAAATCAGTACAACACTACATTTGATAATACAGGCTATTTTAGTTCATTTAGATTTTGTTCACTGTTCACAAACATAGCTAAGAGAAACATTGTTTCACATTAATTGTAGCTTGTATTTATTTCAGTGGTATTCTAATATTTGCTAATATCATGGTGATGCATTTTTTACTTGATTGTATTATCAAGTGTTGAACCAAGATACTGAAGAATGGTCAAAAAGTTGACACTGATTGTATATTTCATAGTTGTTGTTGTTAAGTGCTGTCGAGTCGATTCTAAACCATAGCGACCCTATATAGGGTTTCCAAGGAGCAGCTAGTGGGTAGAGACAAGGAAAGTCATTGCATATGAAAGGAAGTGCTGACATAAATGGTCTATCTTCTTTTAAACAGGTCTTTGTAAAGTGTGGCAAGTAGAAATTATATTTGACAGCTTTTTTTCTGTATTGGTAATCCTCCTCCCCCTCATCCCAGTTATATGAAATAGTTTGATTTCTTCATAAAAATAAGCATGATGAAAAGTAAATTGAGGGACTTTTGCTGGTTCAAATTATGCTCCCTTTGATTCAAACTGTGCTTGTTTTTTGCACATAAAGTTTCTGGAATAATCAGGATTAATTCTAATAATAAATTTTTTATGGCAGTTTGCAAAGGAATAAGCAAGTATTTTAAGATTATGATTGATTTTTAATAAAACATCTTTTCATTGAAAATTCACCTAACTATATGTAGGACCTTCTAAGTAACTACTTTTTAATGATAGAAATAATAAATCCGTAGATGTTCATTTTTTTTTTCCCCCTTAAAAACTTTTTAGATGCTGTATTTGAAACCACCATGGACTTTAATACATTTATTGCAGTGTTTTAAAAAACATTGGTTGGCTGTATTTGGATTAGTTATGAGAAAGAACTTGCTATTAACTATTGAGAGCCTGTATAAAAATCTCTGTAAAGGTATGAATATTTTATTTTTATCTTTACCAACATTGTGTTAAAACATTAAGCCAAACTAGCATACATAGTCCCTGAGATGTGAAGATATTGATACATTTGTCAGTTCTTAATTGTTCTGTTTCTGAAATCTAAAGGTTATTTGTGGTAGCTAGTTAAATGGATGCTGTTCATAAAACTTGTGACAATAGTGATATTGTCAGTGTTCCTGTATATCATGAATATATTTTTTAAATGTTGACTTTGAAAATCTCTAAAATTATTTTAAGGTTTATTCAGAAATACAAATAGAATTTAGACATAGAAAGTTCTTGCTATATTTAACACACAAACTTTGTGCACATTTCATATACTAATTTTTAAAATAGGATGTCAAGATTTTTGTAAAAACTGAATAGATATGGAGAAGGAAATCTTTGGCTTTTGAGTGGAGTGGAATTTTGGCCTAGGAAAGAACCTTGTAGTCAGTTTTGGAACTGTTCTGTACAGAGCTTGCAGACTTCTTGAAGTGCCTCTGGGACTGCTGCTGTCTTGAGGTAGAGAGCTTGATGGGGAGCCTGGTAATGATGGGCCTTTGGCCATTAACCGTAACTTAGCCAAAGAAATTCTCTGTTTATATGCTGAGATTCTGTGTAGGACTGGAAAGAAGATTTTTCTGCTTAGAAAAATAGTAGGAAAAGTCAATGATCTGAAGCCATTAAAAGCCTGTGTGTTATGATTAATGAAACTAGCCCTGAGAGGGTAAGTGACTTTTCCAAAGTCGAACAGGTAACTTGTTTTCTATATCTTTCGAAAGCAAAGACCTGTTGCCATCAAGCCAGTTCTGACTCCTAGCAACTGTATAAGACTTTATGAATTTACAGAGTAGAACTTCCCATAGTATTTCCAAGGTGGAAGCAGACTGCCACATCCTTCTCCCGCAGAGCAGCTGGTTGGCGTGAGTTGTCACCCTTTCACTTAGCAGATGAGAGCTTAGTTACAGTACCATCAGTGTGCCTTTTCAAAAACAAAGTGTGAACTTCTGGTTGGGGCTCTAACAACAAAAAGGGACAGAACAACCAGAAAGAAACTCGACAAAGTTACAAAGGAACTAAACAACACAATCAACCAGCTTGACCTCATAGATGTATACAGAGCTTTCAACCCAACAACAGCACAACATACATTCTTCTCCAGTGCACATGGAACTTTTTCCAGAATTGACTATGTGCTAGGTCACAAAGCAAGCCTGCATAAATTTACAAACGTCAAAATTCTGCAGAGCATCTTCTCAGACCACAATGCTATAAACCTAGAAATCAACAATAAGAAGTCTAAGGCAATAAAGTCAGATACATGGAAACTGAACAACACCCTGCTGAAAAGCGACTAGGAAAAAGAAGAAATTAAACTTGAATTCACAAAGTTCCTAGAAACAAACGAGAATGAAAACACAACATACCAAAATCTTTGGAACACGGTAAAAGCAGTCCTGAGAAGCCAATTTATTGCAATAAATGCGCACATCCAAAAAGAGGAAAGAACCAAAATCAACACAGCATCTAAAACAATTAGAAGCAAACCAGCAGAGGGAACCTTTCAGTCACCAAAAGAAAGGAAATAATAAAGGTAAGAGCAGAAATGAACGAGATGGAAAACCAAAAACTATAGAAAGAATCAACAGGACAAGAAACTGGTTCTTTGAAAGGAGTAATAAAATTGACAAACCATTGGCAAAATTAACTAAAGAAAAGAGAGAGAGGGCACAAATAACTCACATTAGAAACCAGATGGGTGAAGTCACAAAAGAACCAAAGGAAATCAAAAGGATAATAACAGAATACTATGAAGAGTTGTACTCCAACAAATTCGAAAACTTACATGAGATGTATGTATTTCTAGAAAAACGTGACCTACCTAAACTTACTCAGAATGAGATAGAAAACTTGAACATACCCATAACAAAAGAAGAAATTGATAAGGTCATCAAAAAACTCCCAAACAACAAAAGTCCAGGCCCAGATGGCTTCACGGGTGAGTTCTACCAAGCATCCAGGGAAGAACTGTCACCAATTCTACTCAAATTATTCCAGATTATAGAAGAGGTTGGAAAACTCCCTATTACTTTTTATGAAGCAAGCATAACCCTCATACCAAAATCAGGGAAGGATATCACTAAAAAAGAAAACTATAGACCAATATCCCTCGTAAACATAGACCCAAAAATTCTCAACAAAATCCTAGCCAACAGAATCCA